TTAACCTTTTTTACAAACTCTACTGAATTTTTTATGGTGTAAATGTTATTGTCTACTAGAGTTGAAAATCTAGAAACTAAATATTTAGCTAATGGATACGAGGAAGTACCCAAATTTGATACTAATAGGGCGGAAAAGAATACCACTTTTATGAATTTTGGGAAGAGCATATAATCTGGCACAATTCACAACATATGGGATAAGCGAATGTTTTAAGTTGCTTGAAATGATTTGTGAAGATTTGAAATCTCAAAATCGCTACGTAGACGATACTTTTACCTTTTAAAGGTAATAAAGATGATTTAAATAAAGTTCTTTCAACAATGAATTCTATTGATCCTGCTATTCAGTTCACTTTTGAATTTGAGACTTGCAATTATCTTCCCTTTCTCAACATTCTGGTCACACGTAACACATCCAACTACAGTTTACCGTAAACCTTTCTCGGTTTGCCTTCCACCACACTTTAAATCATGTCATCCGACTAAACAAAAGTTAGCTTCATTTTATTCCTATGTTTTCCGTGCTCTTCATGTTTGCTGCTCTAAACTATCCGTTGATGAAGAAAGCAATAGCTATTGACAGGGGCTTTTCACCCAACATTATTAAACAAGCAGTTAAAAAATTATCATCTCAACACACTAAAAGGCACACTTTTGTTTCAGGAGACTACAAAAATTCTGTTGTCATTCCCTTCTTTCCATCAATTAGATATAAAGTTACTCATACTTTGCAGAAATTTAACTTTTGGGTTGTTTATTCTCCCATCAATAAAATTCCGAGTTCCATACTCAAGGACCTCATTCCGGATATGAATTCTTGGGATATTTATAGGATTCCTTGCCAGTGTGGTTTGATTTACAATGGCCAAACTAGGAGAGCCTTAAAATTTCACGTCAAGGAACATGAGGTATATGTTAGAAAAAAGGAAACACAGAAGTCTTCTGTTGCTCAACGTTGTTGGTCCGAAAATCCCACTTTCAAGTTTTCTGCTGCCAAAATTATTCAAAAAACATCTTCCATTGGAGAACTGGATTTTCTAGAGGCATTTCACATTCAAAAAAAATCTTTCTGTTCTAGTTAACGATCCTAATTCCAATCCATCTTTGCCTTTGGCCTTTAAAGAAATTATATTTTAGTTCTGGTTTCATCAACAGATGGCGCCACTTGCTTATTCTTGTCCAGGTTTCCTTATCTTATCTAATCATTATTTCCTATCTTGTTCATTTACGGTTTTGCAGCTGAAGATGGTGGTTCGGTAAAAGCATCGAAACTTGTCCTGTGAAAATTTTAAAAATATAAAGCTGATCTTTGTTGTTTGACTTCTGAATTAGTATGTACAAAGATCTTGTATTTTTTCTCTTTTAAACATTTTTACTATTTTTATATACTCTCCTTCTACTATTTTGTAAATTTAATATCTGGCAAATGTGGTTGTTAATAAAAAAAATGAGGTTTCCAGTTTCTAAGGCATATCGTACCCTGATTACGTGCAGACTATTATCTTTTACCTATTCTTTTTCCAAAACTTTAAGCCAATTATGTTTTCACGCTTAAAATTTACAGAGGGCAGCTTCTTTTAGAAGTTTCTTACACCGCCATTTCGGGTAGACAATCACTCCCTCCTCATCGGTAATAATTTTACAAATCACACTCAACCATTGACACCCACGCACACAAAATATAACAGGGTAAAACATTTTGAACACATGTTAAAATACTTTGTTCTGCTATTGGACAGTTTGAACTTTATCGCATGTTCTTTCCAAAATTTCAGCTTCTCCAGAGCACTCTGAATTCTACTTTCTTTAGCAAGAACACCGTTTGGTCATCTTTAGAGTTCAATTAGATCACAGATAGAAGGTCGTGTTAAGATTTCAGTAAGTTTGCATTTTTCAATTATAGTTTCAAATACATTTTCAGTTTTTAGCTGTTTAAAGCACAGATTTGACCTTTTTATTTATAGAAATCTCTAAATACAGTTTTTTACTTTCTTGATATTAAAAATTTAGTTTAGCATAATTGGGGGCCTCCCAATTTTTTAATCTGTTTAAATGACTAGTAGTTTTGCTCTTTATTTATACTTGCTTTTGAATTTCGGATCAGCATATATTGGTTTTAGACCAATTTTTTTATTTTTACTTATTTATTTATTTCAATGTACATATTGTAAAGTTCTGTGGCCTTTTTAATTGTTATTTTGGCCCTATGTAATGATTTATTCTTTTCTCCAAGTGTTTCAAAAATGTGTAGGTTTAAAGTCTTTAATAAAAATTTGATGAATTATTTTTATGGTTTTTGATCTCAAATGAACCAGAAGAACAAAAAATATGGTACTTACGTATTAACGCAACCAGGCCAAAATTCGCATAAATCGCCAAATTTGGCAACCCTACTTACGGCAACCCTACGTGTTTAGACGAAAGTTTATTTGTAAAAAGAAAAAATAACACTGGGGGTGTACTACCACAGCAATGGGTTTTTGGTGGAATTTGCCGAGAAAAGAAAGAGACTTTTTTGGTTACTGTACCTAACAGAAGCGCCGTTACCCTCAAAGAAAAAATTTGCGAAAATATCAAGGAAGGAAGCATCATTTATTCGGATTGCTGGAAAGGATACAATACAAGTGAGTTCGAAAATGCTGCATTTCTGCATGGAACTGTTAATTACAAATATAACTTTGTGGATCCCAACACAGGCGTTCACACACAACATGTAGAGCGCATATGGGGCTCAGCCAAATGGCGCAACAAAAAACAGAGAGGAACAGCTCGTCATCATCTTGACTCATACCTTATCGAATTTATATGGTGCCAAGCTCAAGCTGTTAATGGCGAAGACAGTTTTCAATCAGTGCTAAAAGCAATAGCCAAAAGATTTCCGCCGAAAAAATAATTCTGCAACTTATTCAAATTCGAAACCGGAAGGGTTTAATTGCTATTTTATATTTTAAAACAAAATAATATAAAAAACTGTATTAAAAATTATCTGTAATTAATAAATGTACATTTTCTTTCTATTCATACTTTTTTACTCAAACTTAAAAATCACGCCAACCTGGTTGCGATAATACGTAAGTACCAAAAATATTTTCGAAACATATTAATCAACTTTTATGAAGCTTTAATTCATTTTTCCCTGATGAGTTCTGAATTGGAGTTTCAATAAAAGAAGATTAATTTTTATTTGTATATTTTCCTTTTCACATTTTTATTTTTCGAGATTGTTCTACTATGAATTCTTTCCTTAACTGATTAGTTTTGATATTGTGCTAAACCTCTTGTACACGGTTGCAATTATTATGTTATAGAGGAATTATCTTGCTTTTATTACAATTTACTATTTAGATGTTTTAAGTTTATTCTACTTCAATCCTGCAGCTATAGCGCAGGACGGGTTCAAAAAAAATTTTTAATTCTAGTTTTTAGCCTATTTTTATATTTCTCTTTATATACATATACATAATAGAGTTTTTGTTTAAACATCTAAATGTAGTTCAGCAGGACATTAAAGGGCCCCCTAAGCCTTCGTGTCCTTATGCAACAGCATTCCTTGCATACCCTTATTTACGTTACTGAACACTGGCAAAATTTAAAAGAAAACTGACAAGAAAAGTGTAAATTTAAAACAATAGATAATTATCTCTATTTGCAATAGCTTACACACATAAAATAATATTCTTTTCCTGAGCCAATTTCCTTAATAAAATAAGTAATAAATAATGGTTAATCTTTGGATTATGGTAACTTGGCGATCTTTTGGCTAAAATTTGGCGACCAACCCTGCTACAGCAACCTGCTAGTTTGTTTTCAACGCCATTTTGTTTTCACGAAGTAAAAGCATGTTTTTTTTTTCACTGAACATTTTTTTCCAACAATCCGCTAGCCGAATTACGCTTATGCAAGAACTTTTATGGAACAAAAGTGCTTAATCATGATGAAGATTAGAAGCGAAATTGGGAGAAAGTGCAGAATCGCCAATGCTAGCCACGTTTATAAGATTTGCACATACACGGTATCCATGTGCACATCGACCTATTTTCACTTAAAAAAAATCACAGAATCGCACAAAAATGGCACTGCGCACACTCTAGACTTTATCCATGTACACTGCTAAAGTCCTAGCTAGTAACCTTTATCGCCTTACCAAAATGTCGCCAAACTACCTGTTACCATATTCCAGAGATTAGCCTAAATAATAATAATAAATTCCTTAATAATATTTAAATAATATCCATGAGAAAGCAAATTTTAAAACCAGCATGAAAATATAATATCACAGCATTTAGAATTTGAAGACCCTGTGACACAAAATATATTTAATTTTATTGTTTGATGTTATTTAGATCCTACTACCAAGCACATTGGTACACAAGAACAACATTAAAAAAAAAAAAAAAAAAAAAAAAAAAAAAAACTTTGAAATATTAAAGCGAAATAAAGATGCCAATATATTATTTTACAAAAAAAAAAAATATGTAGTAGGAAATTATTAAATAAAACATTATGATAGCTTAATAACGATGTAAAGTGTTTAACAAATTACTGGAAGCACTTTCCGCAAAGAACCCAGTATTCGCCAACATTGGCGAACTTTATAATTCGTTTAACAACGTCATGTCATAATTTTTTAAATACTTCTGCTGATAGAAAGTCTGATTAATATTAAAAATGTTTGTTAAAAATATTATGAAACTTAGAAAAATATTTACTTGGCAATTCAAAATCTTCACTGTTAAGAAATGAAGAAACGAATTCTACTACAATAAAATAACAAATACATTCTGCAAAAATCATAAATTACTAACTAATTAGTAAGATAACTCAATTTTTTTATTCTGTTATACACTTATGCATTAACGAATACAACAAATACAGGACATAGAGAAATTATAGAAAAAAACCTGAAACCTTTATAAAACAAGTACATGGTGTGCATGTAATAATTTTGAAACAGAACCTGCATTTATATTTTAAGAAAAATGCTAAAAAATTAATTACATCGTTTTCACAATCAAAATCATCTACTGTAATATCAATCATGACTCATATATATACATATATCTTAGTAAGCACTGAAATCTTCGTTTTCAACAAAATATTAAATCTCAAATTTTCACTGTTGATATTTATGTCAGCATTTTCTAACATAAAACACCGTATAGTCAATAATTTACATTCAAACACACAGCAACAGACAGACAAAGTAAACAGATGTCTTGTTGTGCACCTGCTAAGTCTTTCTGCACTGATGGGCGAAAAATCAAACTTAGGCAAGCGAAGGAACGGGGGGAAAGGGGGCAATTTCGTTTTCCAGAGAAAAGACCAATTTTCCGACAAAATAAATTTAAAAATAAATGGCTCAAAGTACTTAAGAAGGGAGAGTAAAGGATTTAAAAAAAAGATGGGTCTCGAGAGGAAAAGGAAAAGAAGTAGAAAATATCTTGATATGTTATAGCGTCCATTGGTGTGTGTGTATGGATATGTCAAAAACCGAAAAAAAAAGAAAAAAAAAAAACTCCTCTGATTAGGAATGTAACGTGAAGTAATTTAATAATTAAATAAACATAAATTTAGAATATATAGATACCCTAGCATAATTTTGTAACTGAGCATATAAAGGAGATTTAGTTTGTAACTTCTAATGTATTTAATATATCATATAATTTTGAGCACCACTGGGAACACAAGGCATGCTAATATAAACAAAACCTTACAAGTAAATACGTATGCAAATTATTTTTCATTTTGAGATCCCCGGTCGTCGTTTGATGGATAAATTAATAAGAGTCGTTGTTCAAAAATTCTCACCAAATTTGTTACCTCAAGAACTATTTATTACTCGGAAATAACTATCTATATCTCTTTAGTTATTTATGACTCTACAATAATTAAATAATTCCATACTCTCAAATGATGAAAACAACTAAAACTCTCGAAAAAGAACAACATCAAAGTATGTTGCCATTCTCTGAAACATAAACTTTTACAAAACATAGATAATAATAATATGAATAGATAATGAATAAAAAAACCTATAAAGAAAACGATTACATCTGCTTGAAGCTTGTGCAATATTATTCAGAAGCTGTTAGAAAAATATAAACAAAAATATTAGAGTCAAAATATTCTTCATCCTCCCACTTTGTAATATGAAATTCGGGATTGAGTATTGCAAAATAATAAAAAATTAAACATTGTTCTCACAAGTCCAATCGATGAGGAACTCTAATTGTCCTTTCTGATTTGGTTATCGTGGGCGATTTTAAATGGGTATGGATTATTCTATTTGTTTCTACAGATACATCCTCAATTGGAGTTTGCTCTACCGAAAAATTTTTGCATAGTTGACTTCCGCTGAATTTCGATGGAAGTTGCTCGGCAGTCGATAATTCCAAAGGATAAAGATTTTGTACAACTCTTATGACTTCTCCATTTTGCACTTTAATTCTGGCTCGTCGACTTTCACCGTCGGTACCTGGAAATAATTGTATAATTTTACCAAGAGGCCAATTTAATCTCCTTTTGTCATTGCTTCCAATTAAGACAATGTCTCCTTCTTTTAATTTACAACTTCTAGCGAATTTTTTGCTTGTTCTTTTCAAAGTTCCCAGATATTTCTGGCGAAATCCTTTCTTGAAAACCTGGTTAACATTTTGGATATAACACAATCTACGTTTATAAAAGCTAGAATTGAAGTCCTGTTTCACAATTGGCACTGAATAGTTTTGCTTTTCTCGTAAAAAATTTCCAGGTGTTATGGCAGTGAGACTTGAATCAGCCGATACAACTGTTAAAGGTCTATCATTTAGGATGGCTTCACACATAAAACGGTACACATTTCCTCATAACTAAGGCAGGCTCTCCCAAGAACTTTTCTTAATATTCTTTTCATCATTCCTATGAGGCGTTCCCACCAGCCATCCCACCATGGAGCGCTTGGGGGAATGAACTTCCAAATAATACGTTCATTAGCTCCTTTTTTTGCAATTTCATTGAAATCGATTGAAGCAAGTGCATTGCATGCTCCAACAAAATTTGTTCCATTATCAGTATAATTTATGGATGGCTTCCCACGTCTAGCAGAAAAACGATGAAACGCTTGTAGAAATGTATCTTTCGTTAAGGATGTAACCAGCTCCAAATGAACACACCGGTACACTGCGCAAGTAAATAGGCAAATCCATGCCTTCTTGTAGTCTCTTAGAAATATAGGTCCAGCATAATCTATGCCAGTTATTTGAAATACTGAGGCATCCTGTATCCGATCTCTAGGAAGTGGTGGCGCTGGTGGGTTAACATTTTTGTTTGAATAACGCTTACATGTTATACAAGTTTTCAAACCGGATGACACAAATCTTCTTCCAGCTAATATCCAAAATCTTTTTCTTAAGGAATTTAGGACGTGAGAATCTCCAACATGTCCTTTCAACTTATTAAACTTTTTATAAGAGGATGATCACTTAGCAAAATAGCAGGAGTTCTGAACTCAGATGTATCTTCTCTTTGAAATATTGCTGTTTTAGTTCTGATGATCCCACAATCAATGAATGGATTAAGACTTAAATTCTGTTTATCTTCTGTTCCATTAAAGGATTCATTTTGTATTAAACAAATCAAGATATTCTCTGCTTCATTTAACTCAGATACAGTAAGTTCATCCTTTTTCTTGTTTTGATGTTTACAGTTTTTCTTGTAAACAAAACGACACATCCACGCTACCAGTCTGATTGTCTTACGATAACTTGAGAATCTAGTAGCAACTATTTCACTAGCATTAAGATTTATTAAGGACGAAATAATCCTTTTCTTTTTCTCAAGAGCTATTTCTTCTTCATCAGCACTAAAATCTTCTTTTGGCCATTTTTCTGGTGATAAATATAGCCATTTAGGGCCTTCCCACCATCTAGATTTAATTAAATAAGAAGCAGAGCATCCTCTACTGGGCAAATCAGCAGGATTCAGTGATCCTGGTACGTGCCTCCAAGGATTCAATAGAAGTCAGTTGCTTTATTTCCTTAATTCTGTTGTGAACAAATACGTCCCATACTTCATTTCTCTGTATCCAAGCTAGCACAGTAGACGAATCTGTCCAAAAATAAATATCATCAGCTTGAAATTCAGGTATTATGCTGGATGCTAAACGTGCACATATTGTAGCTCCAAGAAGTTCCAATCGAGCTATTGTTGTCTTTTTCCTTCCGCTGGGTGCAACTCTCGCTTTAGCTTGCACCAAATGAACTTGAAACCGAAATCTCTTGTTTGTACTCGAACAAAAGGCCACAGCTGAATATGCAAGTTTACTCGCATCACTGAAGAAATGAAGTGAGATATTTTCAATCTCACGATCACAGTTTAACCATCTTGGTATTCTCATTCTTTCCAGACACTGCAAATCATTCAACCATTTACAAAATTGTGATTTTGAATTTGAATCAACTTCTTGGTCCCAAGATAACTTAACTTCCCATAGGTGCTGAAGTAAAAGTTTCGGCACAAGAGTTACGGGGCAAGCTATTCCTAAAGGGTCGAATATTTTGTGTGTAGTAGCTAAAATATCTCTTTTAGACAAAATTTCTGGTAGATTGTAGGTGATGTTAGTAATATTAAGGTAAAGGTAATCTCCACATCGTTCCCAAATCATTCCTAATACATTTGTGGTACTAGAGGAATTATCTGTTGGGTCACTATATTCCCAACCACGTAATTCTAGCTTTCTTGTAGCTAAAGTATCTGAAGCACTTGTAAACCTACCCCTTTTCGAATTTTTGCGCCGAAATCGAATTTTGCAATGCCTACCTGACAGTGCGTAGAAGTAACGAGAAATTGTGTACCCGTATGTATTCGTTACTCGGTGAACCAGTACTCGTTACTATCGTATCGTTACTCGTTACTTTCGGTAAAATCGATCGGTATCCGTATCCTGAGCCTATTTTATCGGTCTACGGCCCTAAAAAGGGCCTTGAAACGTCGCATTGCATTGAATCACGTGAGCTATTCTACCCCGCGGGAACTGGGTAGTGCTGCGATAGGGAGTTTTGCGTCGCATTTTTGGGGTAGAAATAATTCACTTTATTTTGGCTATTATTTTTTGGTGCACTGGATTCATTATTAATTTTTCTATTGCTGTCAGGGCTTAGTTTCTAAAGTCAGAAGGGCCTACGGAAGGCCGTCAGGAAAACAGGAAAAAATAAAATAAAAAATAAAAAGAAAGGAAATAAATATTACAATAATAACATTAATTAGTAATTAAAATAACAAAAAATTACTTATTAAAAAACTTAATAATTAAAATAATAAAAAATAGTGATTAAAATAATGAATAATTAAAGTAACATAATAATTAGCAACTGAAATATAAAATACTTATAAGTACAATTTAATAAAAATGTAAAAACAAATAAAAATTAAAATAATTTTTAATTTATGATGACTAATTAAATAATAAAGTAAAATACCAGATCTTGTCTTATTGGCTTAGTATCGTTTCGTCCTTTCTCATTTCATCCCCAGCTCGAAAAAGTGTTATTTCGTTCGCTGCCTTCCCCCACCAATTCCCTCTTTCCCGTTTCATCCGCTGTTTGAAAAATAGGTGTTTACTTTACGATAAGGCGAACGTCTGTTTACTTCAATTAAAATGGTTTAGAAGAGATGACTGTTTCTACTTCGACTTAGCTTTTGATTTTTTAATATTATTTAATATTTTATGCAGACAAATTATGTTGAGCAGAATAATGAATTTCAGACGTGTTCAAAAGGTGTGTATCTGAATATAATAACATTTTTGTTGTATAGTATCCATTTTTTTAATTTCACACATTTCTAAAGCAACAGAAGTACGGTTATCACTATTTTGGCACACACATCAAAAACATGTATAATTAAGATTAATGTTACATTCCTTATTAAAAGTAATGGGTCCTCATTAAATGCAACCATTCATGCTTTTAGAGGATTTTACATGTGGTGGTCTTAAAAAGATGATGTTCACTACCAATGTTTGTTTATGTTCCCAAAAATAGAGATCTCTTAAAAGGTGACCTCTTAGAGATGTCGTAAATAGATGATTTGCTATAATTATTTTCCGATAGATAATGGAATTAATGTAATTTAATGTCAATAACTCGAGGAAGCAAGTTTAAATACGGTGCAACAAAAATACAGAAGTATTTTAAATGACGAAAATATTCATATTTTGTCAATGTCAAATTTAAAAAAGAATTAATTTTGGACAAATTATGAAATCTAACTTTTAATGTCGTCTTGTCTGTCTTTCTGGTTTCTATATTTATATCTGGCAAAGTTTTATACTTGTTATGAAAAAATAAAAATACAAGAAGTTTGAGTCCCGTAGGACAAAGATTGACCGGGAAATTTAGTTTCAAAATTTGCAATGTTTGATGCCATTTGTAACTTGCCTTCGGGTATCGCTTAATTGAGTTAGAATAATTCGAGGAAATAAGTTTAAATGAAGTGCAGAAAAAATAAGCATAATTTAAATAGTCGTAGAAGGAAGTCATGCGGAATCCATATCAAATTTTCACTTTTTCATAATGACCATAAAACTTTCCCAAATACAAATACAGAAACTGGGAGACCGCATTAAAGATTAGCTTTCGTTATTTGTCCGTTATTCGTTATTTCGTTTGCTGCTTCCCCCATTCCCTTCATCAGAACCGCTAATGACGAAAGGGTGAAATTTCCCCGATTCATCCCCTCTCCAAAAACTCCTTGTTGAGACTGTTATTTGTTGAGACAAGAATGCTATATTATAAATGTCAACTTGCTTTTTACACTTAACAATAAAATCGATAAAAACATTCGCAAATGTATAGGTTAAGTACGAATTAAGAACTTAAAAGAAATTTAGAAATCTATAAAAGGTAAGGAAAGTTTTATGTTACTTTATTAGAGATAATAGTGAAGCACTAAATATTTCAATCAGTGTTGTTTCATAATGCTATGAGTATACCTTTATTCATTTAAAAAATGGCCCACCAGCGGTCGAGCGGTAAAATCGCTGAACACTGGTAGTTTCGACCTGAGTTCGATCTCAGGCAAACGGGTTGGCTTCATAAGCGTTTCGTGGTTTTTTTTCCCGTACCAGCTTACAAGCTACCACGTACCATACGAGCCAGCTTTCCTAAGAAAGTGCTCTACGAACGCATTTTTCCTTTTAGGCACATAGCCCCAGTGTGTTTTGTCATAATCAACTAAACCAAATCATTTAAGAAATATATCAGTTGATCACTGCTCAGTGTACATCTGCTGTTTGCTTATAAAAACACTTTGTAAAGACGTTTCCACTATTTTGCTAATAATTCTGGAAGGCTCATAGAATCCGAAATTATGTTACACTAACATCCGAAATTATGTTACACTAGCTAACAGAGAACTTAAGTCTGCTTAATACAACAAAAATCTGCTTGACTTGCTTTCGTGTCTTTGGGAAACGTAAGTATATGCAGAAATAAATATTAAAATCTATCACGTATATTTGTAAGGATGTAAAGCATACTGTTTTGGTTCACGATAATGATAAATATGCATCATGTTACGACAGTTTTAAAAGATCACAAATAACTATACATATGCTAGACTTCTAACAAAATTTCTGTTACAATATGAATATGCATTTATTATTATATGAGTCGTAAAACGGCCCACCAGCGGCCGAGCGGTAAAGTCGCTGAACACTGGTAGTTCGGTCCGAGGTTCGAATCCCGCGAACGGTCCGGCTACATGGGTGTTTTCGTGGTTTTCCTCATGTGTAACGTGTATACGAGCCAGTTTCCCTTAGAAAGTCCTCCACGAAGGCATCCCCCCTTAGGCAGATAGCCATAGTGTGCCTTGCCATAATTAAATACACCCATACACACATGAGTCGTAAAATTCAGTATTCGTCATTTTTAGATTCTAGGTATATGAAAAAATTTTTTTTTTTTAATTTTCGTTTTGTTTTTAAAAATTAATTCACTTTATAGCTTTTCTTCAATTTATTATAAAGGAATAGGAGTTTAAATTTTGATTTATATATAATATGATATAAATTCATCATTCATTAATAATATTTTATGTATAACAAAAAATTATCATTAATGTTCCAAATTTTAATTTTTTTAATGATTTGTCTTACATTTGTTGTATATTTGTTGAATGCATAGCTAAATATTTCAATTATACACAATAAAGGTTATGCAGAAAACAATTCAGCTGGCATGATAGCTAATTGCGAAAGAAAAATTAGAGTCTTATTGCTCTTAACTCTTAGTACAAGCAGCCATTTTTAAATTGACGTTAAAATAAATTTATTCTATGGTCTATTAGAAAATAACTATACTGAATCATTTATTGACGACTTCTAAGAGGTCGCTTTCTGAAAGAGCCTGTATTTTTGAGAACATAAACATACGTTGATATTGAACATCACTTTTTTAAGATGCCAGAGCAAATGCACAGAGCTCCAAAAATCCTCTAAAAGCATAGACGGTCACGTTTTAAAAGGCTGACTACTTTTAATAAAGCCTGTATATTAATGTTCATTATACATTTCTCACATTTTTACTTTCTTTCAAAACAGCGATGCTGTGGTTCAATTGCTTTAGAACTATGTGAAACTAATAAAATGTGCCCTATGTTATAAAAACCTAATTATATTCAGATACACAACTTTTGAACATGTTTGAAATCTATTATTCTAATCAGAATACTTTGTCTACAGAAAACATTGAATCAATATTAGAAATCAAAAGCTAAGTGAGATTAAAGTAGGAAGAGTCATATCGTCTAACCCATTTTAATTGAAGTAAACAGGTGCTTACTTTATCGTAAAGTGAACACCCGTTTTTCAAACAGCGAATGAAAAGAAAAAAAGAGCCCACCAGAGCTCGAGCGGTAAAGTCGCTGAGCACTAATAGTTCGGTCCGGGGTTCAATTCCCGGCTAACGGCTAGCTGCACGGGCGTTTTCATTGTTATTCCCGTGTGTAACTTGCATATGAGTCAGTTCCCTTTAAAAAATCCTACACGAAGGCCTCCCTCCCGTAGGCAATAGCCCTAGTGTGCTTTGCTGTAACCGAATAAACCGAAACCGGAAAAAAAAAAGGGGGGAATTGGTGGTGGAAGGCAGCTACGAAACGTCGTTTTAGAAGAATGGGCTACATAACCAAATTTCTATCTATACTCTGGTAAACAGTACATTATTTGCTCATCAAAAGCCTAAATTTAGCTAATGCTCGGCTTAGTTCTTAAATTGCAATTTTAGCCACAGCCCCCAAACAAGACGATGTCTGGTATTTTATTTCATTACTTAGTTATTCATCATTAATTTAAGAATTAATTAAATTTTCATTTGTCTTTAAATTTTTATTGAATTATAATAATAATCATTTAATATTCTAGTTGCTAATTATTTTATTATTGTAATAGTTATTTTATTTTTATTTATTTATTTATTCATCTTTCCTGATGGCCTTCCATAGAGCTCCAGCACTTCTAATTTTAAAAATTAAGTCCTGACTACAACCAATGATTGCGAAAATAAAAGTCAAGTAACTTATTTAGTGATAATTAAATAAAATAAAAGCCAAGGCTTTTATTTTCGCCTTACTTGGCTTTTATTTTATATTATATATATGTGTGTGTAC